TAATTTATTTGTGAAGATGAACTTTGTCAGTAAGTAGGTGCATAATGAATGTTTACTAACTAAGTGTGCGGAATATACTGTGTTGAATTTTGATATGCAGTCGATGCCAATGTTAGTTGTAGGTTTTGAGATCCGGATGCACTACAGTTTCTTTTCTGAGTTGTGTGGTTGGCTGAAATTTGTAAACAGTGTTTTAAAAGATTTTAAAATTTGGTTAATATCACTGTTGTTCAAACATCAAAATGAGTGAGAATATACAGACGTGTTAAGGAAAGTGCATGTATAGTTAGTTCTACGGCCGTTACAGTTGTCCGAACTTCAAAAACATACGAAGACCGAATTGTGATGAGACAATTAAACCATGACAATTATAACGTTCATCAGTGAATTATTGCAATCCCAGGTTGATTGGTGGTTGGCAGTGAAATCAAAGATGCCTGTTTGTTCATAACTCTACAACACTACAGCTGAGAGTAAACTTACTGGCGCCTTGTTATAATCTGTACAGTAACAATGAAATGCTTGTAATCAGTGTTTGCAGATTTTGAATAAGAATACATCAATCATCAATCGGAAACGATCACTGAATTTCTAGAGATTACAAAGTCCACCTACATCGTAATGTCATTGATAACACATTAAATGAGGTTGCTTCCTATTTTCTAGAAAAGGCTAATTAGAGCTATAAACAACTGTAATATTAATTTTCGCAAGCATCATGAGTTCATTGTCACAGTTATCGATCGATTTTCGATAGGGTTTCGCAGACTGCTGTTCAAATGTATTCTCATCGTTTTATATATGCTTTCTGAATTCATAGTTTACAGATCTATTTTACGCGTAGAATAAAGTCCTCCATCTTTTGGCTTCTAAGTCTGTAAATCGTGTAACGTAGTGCGTATTTCACCCTCTATTTGATCAATCTTAGCATAATGTCGTTCACAATAAATTCACTACATTAGTCAGCACTGAAATACGTTTTTGACGTATACAAATTTGTAATAGATTGCAAGAGAAAACTTGAACGTGTGCAATGTGAACTGTGAATAGATTGTCAATACGCGGATTTACGTTTTCAACATCCGGTCATCTAGATTATGTCATTATACATTTGAAATCATCAATCCATCAATGTTATACCACCTTTAGACACCTGGACGCACTAAATGACCGTATCAACTGGTATGGGACTCATCAGCAGTGCGCATCCACGACTCCTGCAACCCACATGATTCGAACCTGGAACCTTCAGTCTTGCGAGCAAATGCGCTACCTCATCAATTTGTTTTCGGGAGTTACCGCCTACAACCCACAGGGTAAAACTCCACCTGTCATGTCGTCTCACTAGAACTCCGAGAATTTCCTCACAAAGTTAGGTACTAGCAAGTACATTATATACTGTTTTTCGTTATAATATTCAAACGAATTCGTTTTGATCATATGAATCTGTTAATAGACGAGTACTTGCTCACAAAATACGTCGGCAAAATCGAAATATTAAATTAAATGTCTCTAATGAGATAGATTACAATTCACTCTGTACATTCAATCATTCTTGGGTTCACCTAAATCGTTCAAACTAGGTCACTAAAATCATAAATTCAGTAAACTACTCTCTGATATCTAACATTCGATTAAGTGATATTTAATAACGAATTTATTCAACATGGAATATAAACATACTCAGTGATTACAAACACAAATATTTGGTGAATGTTAGACGAATCGCAATATGAACTGGAATATGTTCTCACAATAAAATAACTCTTACTTTATCCGATCAATTAGATGTATTCAGTCTTTATTTCCATCACAAACACATACACACACCTTGTCAGATCTCGAGTAGACTCTGTTACAGAAATTCTTTCACTTCGAAACCACACGTACCATCAACTGTTGCATGAACGATTGACGAAAACCTTACGTAATCAGCTCACATCCGTCAACCTAAATTATCTTTAAACTTTGCCTTCCTCAATGACAACTGCATATCGGCATAAGGTGTGCGCTATTGCAGTTTACAGAGTAAACAATACGCGTACACTTAATGACATGAAAATAGTTACACTGACTACAATTAATAATATTCGAAATACTAATCATTATCACTGTAAACATGGTTTGAACTTACTACAACACACTCTTCTTCCTGTCATGAAGTTGCTTGAATTGATGCTCATGGTAAAGTTTCCAATAGGCCCAGAATACAGATCGCACATCTGCGGTGTATCCTATGATTAGGAGGAAATTCAAAATTTAAGTTACAGATTGAATTCATTTTGAAATTACTTCATTATTCAAGTTAACTGAAGAAAGATAGGTTGACTGGATGGATCATGATTGGTGGTGGTGTTGAAACGTTGTCGAACGTACACTCGGATGGACACAGAGCAACTTCATTATGGAAAACGGAAAAGTAGATTTCCGACTGTATTTGAAATCGTAATGATACGTTTGTGTTTACTCAAAGAATCTTCCATACATGTTCTTGTCTCGAGTGAATAAGTGAGCAGCAACAGACAACAGTTTTATTCTATTTTATCCCAGAGTCAATTAGTCACAATACAAAACGAACACCTGAATCATCAAAAGCCGGTGGAAATTTGTGTGTGTCAACCCGTGATTAGCCGGAACTTCTTATAACCCTGTTGATTTTCCTTATGTCTCATCGATTGTCAACCATAAAGTTTACATCTGAGATGTTTCGGTGAAATGTTCGGATTCAGAGAGTATGAAGCTTGGCGTCTGCAAATAAAATGAACTGCATTATTCAGAATGAAGTAGGAATCTAGACGGCACACAGATGACCGAAGAACAGTAACAACAGTATCATTTACATCATCTTATTAACTCATCAGGAATGTAGATTTACTGTTAAACAGTTTAAACCGAATACAAATAATAATGCGCTTCACATGTATAAACAAAATATAAAACACATCTACAACTTACAACTTCATATGTGAATAAATTACACAAAGGATAAGATATGCATTCATTTAAACAACTTGATTTAGTTGTCATCGATTTTAACCGATATTTTTCAATAAGCTGCTCAGGTTTTCCCAATTGACTGATCCATTCTGAATAGTTACATCGCATATTTGCATTACAAGTTGGACATGCTTCACATGGGGATAAAACTGTAGAAGCATTTGTCGCATTTGTTTGTGTGTGATAACAGTTGAAAAGATAAAGTGAAATGTAAGCGGTGATAATGAGTGAATATTTAATCATATGATGTGACTTGCAATGTGTAATTCGACACTAGTAATCTACTCACAAAATCAACTGTTTATATAGTCGGGATAGGTCAATTGATTGATGAGATTTTCTAATATCCACGAATTGACCAATGAAATTGTAGCTCTCAGTCTATGATTTGTTTCTAACTGGTTGAATGAACAATGCTAACATTTTCATAATACGGATTTGTAAAAATTGAATGTACCTCGGAACTTCACAAGAATATAGAATGAAATTGGATGGTTCTCAATGAAGCAAGATAAGTATGCAGTCAGACTTTCACTGAATTAAGTCGAAGGAATACTGTACACCGATCAGTCACCTTGTCCACCGATTCAAGAGGTTCGCTGAAATAATCTAATTTGAGGTAAACCAGTGTTTTGTGAATTTTTACAAATTATTACATAATTGTGCTGAGCTGTGTCCTCAGTTTCATTATCAATAAAGGTTTTGTGCCTAAGTCTGTGCGCCTGGCTTGTTTGTGCATGCAAATGCTACTGTGGGTTCCGTGTGGATCAACTTCATCTTAAACGTTTTTTCTGCTTCTATATTGATGAACTGAACATTACTGTTATTGCCAATTGATTTAGTTGCACTTCAATAATAGTATCATAGACCTACAAGCCGATATATTCTCTTGATGATGTCATGAAAATAAGTACTTTTGCTTCTCATATGACATTCACTAACAGTTAATTGTGAATGATTTGATGATTTTGAATATGAATCAACTCATTTGGCATCAGTCTTTTACATTCGATCGGACTGAGACTTTCGAAATTCCATTTCAATCAATTGCGTTGTCCAAGACAATTGATGGTGTATGCCTAAAATGCCAACACACACGCCTGTCGTTTTGTATCCAAATATGTTGGCTTAATATGCAATACTACTGTGGTCTATAGATGGACTAACACAATTAGCTTGTTTACATTGTTTTTATAGCAAATTTTCCACTTCGGCTAGAGATCTAGTGTTACTTCGTCAAATAGTGAACATTAGTCATGTGAGGGACTGTGTGTTTCCTCTGAATATCTATGAAAAATGTGAGATAGATATTCGATCACTGATCGTCTCTCAATCTGTCCAAATTGTTCATTTCGAATGAATACTGCGAGACAAATGTCCATGACAATATATTCGATAGTTTGCATGCACAAATCACCAAAAATATCACAAATGACGTACTGTTGATGCATGGTGTGGTTATGCGCCTAGACTGCTCACTGATACTTTCATGATTTCATGTAGTTTATTGCTCATACACTACATCAATGAAATATGAATAGTCTACTTTTCAATGAACTTCTAATAGCACCTTTAGAAACTCGGAACAATCATCAACTGAACAACAACAGACAGTCTAGCAGTGTAAGCTACTCATTCAGCTTGACAGATAAATAAAGTAGTAAGGTAGTAAGGTTGCTACAATTGAGTGTAGCATTAGGAACGTTTTATTTTCTTTATAGATATTGGCATACACCAATCACTTGAACCATACCATCTATACATAACCGTGTGGGAATTATAGCTAAGCAACATTGACATTGCACAAGTAACTATTTGTTCACCTCACTAACTTTAAAGTCATCCGTCGATATTGATTATGTGCAGACAGGTTGAAATGAACGTGTGTAGTTTTAATCTTTTCACTTTGTTCATTGTGTTGTGATTATTTCATATTATCCACATTGTTGCATTCATGCAACAATCAAACCAATCCCCTGTAACAACTGCAGAACAGACTGTAATGAACAATGTTTTGATATAGAAAAAATGCAGTAGTTTCATTCATTTGCTGTATTAGAATTTACTTTATCGGGAAGACAAGTAGAGGAATGATAAGTCGCAGGATTGATTTATGGATTATTGTTGCGCATGACCTTATTGTATAATTATTCAGTAACTAAATTACGATATATGTGTACATTTCTGCCTTGTTAATCTATCGAATAACTGACTAAGTATTGTTGTGTGATTCATTATTCCTAGTTTATTGCCAGTTAATCATACACAGGTTTTCCTGTTCACAGACACTTTTCACTCGCTGTAGTATTGTAGTGAACGAGAACACAGGTGGGGCAACCGGACTGTATTTAACGAAAATTACAGAGTTACTCAGCAAAAGCGGAAAACCATATCGTATATCGTTCATTTGCAAAATATCAGTCCATCATATCGAACTGGACTGTTGCTGTTGCAAAACATCAATCCATTATCACTATTCATGCGTTTCATACAAATTGCATTGTGTTCCCACTCTTGCTTTCTTGATCTTCCCCCATCTTCTGCTGCCAGACATTACGTTCACACTGAAGTCATATACTACTTATAAGTAGCTCTCACCACAGTATGAATATATTTTCGCATTTTATGATGCGATGTGGTCGTAATTGTTTATTATGTAAACTATGTCTGCTTGGAGCATACGATAATTTTATGAGGTTTGGCATTGAACTTGTAGACACAGAGACAGGATAGACAGCGAGACAAGCTGTCCGATTGTGAATCAATAAGGATTCAGAGATGACTCACAATTTCCGGTGCTATCGTGACTGTGATTAGTGTTTTGCATTTTCCACGTGATATTTATCATTGTTTTGAACTAGAACAGGATCTCTCAGATCTGATGATCACGTGTAACATTGAAACTGGAAAATAGTAATAAGCGGATAGTTGAATATGTAGTTCACTGTGTACGAATTGTAGGAAACAGAAGAACGTTAATGAGGCGAATGGAACTAAATGAAAATATTGAAGATCTTTAAATTTCTTTAGGCCAAAATCATTAACTACATAAAGTGGGTTTTGACAGAATCAATTAAATCGTGAATGATGGTAAGGATATACAATCTATTGATGACATTTAAGCCAGTAAACATTCATTCAAATTCCTTCATAGACTTTTTCATATTGCTTCGAAACAAGGGAACACATCAAAAACGTTGGATATTTTTGTTTCCAGAAATAAAATTGGAAATGACTAAATATAATGTATACTTTCATTGTGGCGAATGTGAATTATCGAATGTAGAGAAGGATTATTAGTAAAATCTATCAAACTGATTTCATGAGTGTTTATATTTGCATACACTCTGTGAATGTAGTCTGGGAAATAATGGTTCCATTCATGTTGCCTTTGTCATTTCACATTTCGTTTCAGAAATTTCGTCAATATTACATCAGTATGACAAGGAGTTGTAATCCCTGTACATATTGACACACTTCCACATTGTCGCACAATCTGAATTATCCATTCAAAAGACGTTATTTAGCATGTTGGATAGTTTTCAGTTTCAGTCTGACTAACTTCATCCATTTGCAGGAGCAAACACTAGGCATGAAATGATACAATATCAATCTCTAATCATGTTAACATACTGATGTTTTGGTGAAAAGCCTAAACCATGATTAACATTACGTGGTTATAATTGCATCATGATGAACTAAAAGAATGAATAGAATATGTGGTTTCTGGAAATTGAAATAAAAACAAATTTGTTTATCTGCGGTTAGTTTTCATCAACGGAATGGTGTAAAGTTACCTCAAACACATATTTCACTGTAATTCACAATTCTCAACATTTGATCACTTAAAAGTGCATCAAATTGAATGGAATTTCTGTTTACAAATGAAACATTTTCCATCTCTGACATTTCCCACACTGACCTTCACCTATCATTGTTATTTTCATAATTATCACATAGATGAACATGTGCATTTGTTTATGTGGTAGAATTTTTCTTCTCATCACCAATTTTGCTTATTGACATCATTTCAACTCGTTTCTCACTCACATCAACCTGTTTATCATTAACGAAACAACAAGATAATTATCCCTAACAACTCATTCTATTCACACCACAATTCGTTGTTTATGCATCAGTTCAATGTGTATATACATCTTGAAAGATGATCCGTAGAAAACTCTAAAATAAACAGTGGTTATCATTTATCTAGAAATGTAAACAATGGATCTGAATAAGATGCGATGTGAAAATGATAACAGATAAGTGGAAAACAAAACCCTGAGTACTTTCAAATTTTTGATATCACAGTGAGTATTATTGTTGTCGTTTAATAAACACTTTTATAAAAACTTGTACTTCTTTACTCAAAAGTGTTTATGTCCTCTACAATTTTTTATTTTCACAAATATTTTTCATTCGACCCTGCATCACATCAACATGTTGATTGTTCTGAATACAACAGAACATATTTTCCCATCAACTCATTCTATTCAGTGTTTGTTTATCAGTTACACTTCCATTGTTTACTAACAAACACCCTGTGAAGTTGAGAGAACATTGTTTTGTTATCACTGATACAATGTGACTAAGTTGTATAAACACTCTGGCTAATTTCCCATGTCTATTTACTGCGAATATTTATTCACTGAATGAAACTCGAAATGATTTACACGTATTTATTACGCTCAGCATGATAACAAGTTGAGAGGGAGAAGAGATCTGTTTGCTGAACTTCACGTTTCTACCTGTTTTCCAATCAGAACTATCAGAGTGTGGAAACAATACTTTCAAGGCGACTATTTGAACTGATGTAGAAGATGAACTCTGGAGAAAACAGCTAATCCAAACTGCAAGTACATATAGAAAGTTTGGATAATCAAGTTTGTTTTCTCCAATTTGAGATATGATATATTTGGAAGTTAGTCATAACCTAAAGGAAACCCTATATAAGTTTAGTTTTTTACTGTTTGACAAGTGTAGGATGTAAATTTCCCTCATAGAATTCTGACCTCATATTGGGAACTATTATGATTGAATCGGCTAAGCGGTGGCTAATCTAATACAGGAGTGAGATATACACATAACTATTTCATGTGATCGTAATTCTTACGACGTTGGTACATTTATTCTCAAAGTAGTTTCATCCTCTCCTGTTTGAGGAAGGTAATTTTGATTCCGTTTAAATGTAATTCACTTAGCATTCTTTATCAGATTCTTCCTGTATCATATTCAACATGGTTTCTATTTCCAAATTCACTATTAGTTCATCCTTCTGGTTCACATGATACAATGGAAATAATAAGGAGGCCTAAAATGGAAACACAACAACATGAAAGTAGCTTTGATTGTTTGTCAATGTTTGTTTATTCCTCTGTTCACACTTATTATAGGTGGATGAGAATGGTGCAGTGTCAGCTGTATCAACAGCAACTTCGATCGTCTAATGCACAGCTGTATGATCGTGCAAGCCTGTAGCAGTTTCGTATTGATCATTGATTCTTCACATCTATTGTTTGGAATGCTGCTTTACCAATATTTCTTAGACATGGGATATTCACATTGAGTTCGTGATAAGTGAGGCTGTGACTAGAGCCTACAGAAAAGTGTTTTCTCCAGAAAGGAAGTATCCTACAATTTTTCAAGATTCAGCAAATTGCATGTGTTTTTATTGAATTATTCGCATGTGCCTAACTAATCAAATTTTTAATAGAAGAATTTGTTAAACCATTTTTACTTCCGTGATTATGTAATTATTTTGTTAACTTTATGTTCACATGACCACTGATGAATAATTCATGGAAGTTTGTTCTATTGTCAATATTTGTTTTTTTATTTAAATTAATTTTGAATTCTCATAGGTATACAGGGATAGACATTTTGAACGGAAATATAACTGTGGTAATGCTCGTTATTGCAACAACATGAGTTGTACGAATGGCCAAATTGTTGGGAATATCATTTCTAGGCAGTATTCATCTGACCCATAATGAATCACTTCGAAACGCGCTGATACAGTTGAGGTTGAGAATAGTTAGCTTTTATGTTTTGCTTTTCCCGAAATTGAAATGAATCCATGTGACTCACTGAAATCCCTAACTGCACTTACCAGAGTGGTCTCTTTCACTGAATACTTCGTTTTCGCTGATGCTATTGGTGTTCGCAAATGTTATCTGAAGAAATCACACCTACGATGTAGCTTCAATATTCAGTCAGCATTTATTAACAAGTCCTAAAGACTGACGTGGCGCGTCACTATTGACTCACCACTCAGCTGTATTCTAGCTTAATGTTTCATAGTCAGTATCGAGAACACGGTATATCCACTGACGATTGATGGCTTTGACTAAAGTGATAGGTATGTTTAAGATACACTGTTCAGATTGATATGGTAACCGCAACGTCATCTGAGAGAAGTGTAATAGCTGTCATCTATCCATCAGATTTACATTGTGATCAGGGTGGAGTTAGGAGTTTCATTTCGTTGATCTAGTAAACAGGATGTTACGGTACGAAGGTCTTCATAGCGAGAAGCAACTTGAAATGAAAAATGTACGAATTTCCGTAGGTGTTTTCACTAGAGAGAAAATAAAACTAAATTCAATCTTTATAAACAAATGTTAGATAAATGTATTTCGAAGATATGATATACGATGAACTATGAAATCTCTATCAGATATTCCTTAAAAGCCGCCATGTATTCAGGTTTTTGAGCTAAACATGAAACGCAAAATACAATTAGCGTTTCCTAACACAGTTCTTAAGAAAACTGTTTTCATGAACATTGAGTTGAAAGGAAACACTGCTGTGGAAATTTTGAAGAATTGTCTAATAGGATATTTAAATCAAGTGTTGTATGTCACCAAGCATCATACAGTGCTTTCGAACAGTTTCATTATTCGTGAATATGTGTATTTATTAGTTCATGCACTCTTACAGAGCATGTTACATATCACAATAACTTGAAAAATACTTGTTAGAATAACTGAGTGATAGTATTTATTTACATGAGAACTGTTATTATCCTTACCCACTTTGTTTCAAATGTTGGCAAGTCAAGGCTACGAATATCTGAGGTAACATTTGCGGTTATTAGTAATTCTAAGTCACTTTAGTCTTGGAATGAACATCACTGTTTCGGTGAAATATGCGAAACGATTCAGCGAATAATTGCAAAATAAGTTTAAATTGATGAGCACATGTTAGATAATTGTTCTATCGCGTGGTATATGAGTTGATAATATTGTTGTCAGAGACTGTGTAGAGTCGTTCGTTTATTTTAAGACTATGAAAGATTTAGATTCTAGGGTTGCATTCCGAGCGACCGTAGTTTATTGGTTGTAGATCATCTGACGTAAATTGCCTATACGATACCCGACCTTAGCTGATACCTTGACGTGTTGGTCGTGCTTGCATATCGTGAGGCCTGAAAATTCACTCTTAACAGATGACAGTTTCAATAAACAAAGTATTCAAGTAGTTCTTTGCTTGTAAACCATGTGGTTTCAGAAAAAATGAATGATTGTTTGCTGCTGTAATCAGTTGTATTAAGTTTAGTCTGTTATGGACTGCACACTCAGCGAGATATGATCATACTGATTCTTGGGGACGCAGTGTCAAAGTTGTAACTAAGATTGATTCACTTATGTATGTTAAAACATACCACTAGTGATGAATGAGAATGTTCTCAATGCACGTAACTCGACAGTTTGATGTGAGAATACTGGTTGAGTCACGATTGGATTCACTTCTTAAGTTTAAGCAACCATTATTGTCATCAACGGTAACTAAAGACTTCGTGTGCTGTCTTTCTACAATAGAGGCGGACACCTGCTAATTTTGTTAGCAATCACTTCATTGGCGCTAAGAGATTGAGCTGAATCTCTCTGATCTGGGTATACTCAAAACCACAAGTCACGCACTTTTACCCGTAGAATTTCAATCATGTCACACTTTCCATATATTTATGATCAAATATTTTCGTGAATTATGAAATTTACTAACAGAACCAGCTGAAAATGTCAATAGAATTAGAAATGAATTGATGAAAATATTTGCTCCATCATATTACGTAATTATCCGGTGTAGGTGTTCATGTTGTTGTGTTTCCATATTAGGCCTCCTAATTATTTCCATTGTATCATGTGAACCAGAGTGATGAAGTAACAGTGAATTTTGAAAGAGAAACGATACACGAAGAATCTGATAAAGAATGCTAAGTGAATTACAATCAAAATTACCTTCCTCAAACAGGAGAGGATGAAACTACTTTGAGAATAAATGTACCAACGTCCTAAGAATTACGATCACATGAAATAATCATGTGAATATCTCAGTCCTGTATTAGATTAGCCACCGCTTAGCCGATTCGATCATAATAGTTCCCAATATGAGGTCAGAATTCTATGAGGGAAATTTACGTCCTACACTTGTCAAACAGCCAAAAACTAAACTTATATAGGGTTTCCTTTAGGTTATGACTAACTTCCAAATATATCATATCTCAAATTGGAGAAAACAAACTTTCTTATCCAAACTTTCAGTATGTACTTGCAGTTTGGATTAGCTGTTTTCTCCAGAGTTCATCTTCTACATCAGTTCTAATAGTCGCCTTGAAAGCATTGTTTCCGCACTCTGATAGTTCTGATTGGAAAACAGGTAGAAACATGAAGTTCAGCAAACAGATCTCTTCTCTCTCTCAACTTGTTATCATGCTGAGCCTAATAAATACGTGTAAATCATTTCGAATTTCATTCAGTGAATAAAATATTCACAATAAATAGACATGAGATATTAGCCAGAGTGTTTATGCAACTTAGTCACATTGTATCAGTGATAACAAAACAATGTTCTCTCAACTTCACAGGGTGTTGGTAAATAAACAATGGAAGTGTAACTGATCAACAAACACTGAATAGAATGAGTTGATGTGAGAAAATGTTCTATTGTATTCAGAACAATAAACATGTTGATGTGATGCAGGGTCGAGTGAAAAATATTTGTGAAAATAAACAAGTGTAGAGGACATAAACAATTTTGTGTAAAGAAGTACAAGTTTTTATAAAAGTGTATATATTAAACGACGACAATAATACTCACTGTGATATCAAAAGTTTGAAAATACTCAGGGTTTTGTTTTCCACTTATCTGTTATCATTTTCACATCGCATCTTATTCAGATCCATTGTTTACATTTCTAGCTAAATGATAACCACTGTTTATTTTAGAGTTTTCTACGGATCATCTTTCAAGATGTATATACATGAGAAATTTGAGAGCTTAGTTCTCTCACATGCAGTGTAAACAAAGAATCAACTTGATCAGTGAGGCAGAAATAATTCAAACACTTAGCCATATGGTGTAAATATCAACAATACAATGTACTTTAGTGTCCATTCAGTGTTTTGTTGTGAATGAAAATACACATTGAACTGATGCATAAACAACGAATTGTGGTGTGAATAGAATGAGTTGTTAGGGATATTTATCTTGTTGTTTCGTTAATGATAAACAGGTTGATGTGAGTGAGAAATGCGAGTTGAAATGATGTCAATAAGCAAAATTGGTGATGAGAATAAAAATTACACCACATAAACAAATGCACATGTTCATCTATGTGATAATTATGAAAATAACAATGATAGGTGAAGGTCAGTGTTGGAAATGTCAGAGATGGAAAATGTTTCATTTGTAAGAGGAAATTTCATTCAATTCGATGCACTTTTAAGTAATGAAATGTTGAGAAATGTGAAAGGAAATCTGTGAATTACAGTGAAATATGTGTTTGAGGTAACTTTACACCATTCGGTTGATGAAAACTAACCGCAGATAAACAAATTTGTTTTATTCCAATATCCAGAGACCACATATTCTATTCATTCTTTTAGTTGATCATGATGAAATTATAACCACGTACTGTTAACCATGGTTTAGGCTTTTCACCAAAACATCAGTATGTTGAAATGATTAGAAATTGATATTGTATCATTTCATGCCTAGTGTTTGCCCCTTCAGATGGATGAAGTTAGTCAGACTGAAACTGAAAATTATCCTGCATGCTAAATAACTTCTTTTGAATGGATAATTCAGATTGTGCGACAATGTGGAATTGTGTGTGTGAATAGGTACAGGGATTACAACTCCTTGTCATACTGATGTAATATTGACGAAATTTCTGAAACGAAGTTACTAGACCACAATGTGAAATGACAAAGGCAACATGAATGGAACCATTATTTCCCAGACTACATTCACACAGTGTATGCAAATATAAACACTCATGAAATCAGTTTCATAGATCTGACGAATAATCCTTCTCTATATTCGATAATTCACTTTCGCCACAATGAAAGTATACATTATATTTGGTCACTACCAACTTTGTCCTGGATTAAGAAATATCCAACGTTTTTGATGTGTTTCCTTGTTTCGAAGCAATATGAAAAAGTCTATGAAGGAATTTGAATGAATGTTTACTAGCTTAAATGTCATCAATGGATTGTATATCCTTACCATCATTCACGATTCAATTGATTCTGTCAAAACCTACTTAATGTAGATAATGATTTTGGCCTAGAGAAATTTAAAGATCTTCAATATTTTCATTTAGTTCCATTCGCCTCATTAACGTTCTTCTGTTTCCTACAATTCGTACACAGTGAACTACATATTCAACTATCCGCTCATTACTATTTTCCAGTTTCAATGTTACACGTGATCATCAGATCTGAGAGGTTCTGTTCTGGCTCCAAACAATGAAAAATATCACGTGACAAATACAAAGCACCAATTACGATATCACCGGAAATTGTGAGTCATCTCTGAATCCTCATTGATTCACAATTAGACAGCTTGTCTCGCTATCTATCCTGTCTCTGTGTCTACAGGTTAAATGTCAAACCTCATAAAATTATGTTTTACTGCAAGCAGACATAGTTTACATCATAAACATACACGACCACATCGCATCATAAAATGAGGAAATATATTCATACTACAGCGAGTGAAAAGTGGCTGTGAACAGGAGAAACTGTGTATAATAAACTAGCAATAAACTAGGAATAATGAATCACACAACAATACTTAGTCAGTTATTCGATAGATTAGCAAGGCAGAAATGTACACATATATCGTAATTTAGTTACTGATTAATTATACAATAAGGTCATGCGCAACAATAATCCATAAATCAATCCTACGACTTATCATTCCTCTACTTGTCTTCCCGATTAAGTAAATTCTAATACAGCAAATGAATGAAACTACTGCATTTTTTCCATATCAAAACATTGTTTATTACAGTCTGTTCTGCAGTTATTACAGGGGACTGATTTGATTATTGCATGAATGCAACAATGTGGATAATACGAAATAATCACAACACAATGAACAAAGTGAAAAGATTAAAACTACACACGTTCATTTCAACCTGTCTGCACATAATCCATGCCAACGGATGACTTTAAAGTTAGTGAGGTGATCAAATTGTTACTTGTGCAATGTCAATGTTGCTTAGCTATAATTCCCACACGCTTACGTATGGATGGTATGGTTCAAGTGATTGGTAGATGCCAATATCTATAAAGAAAATAAAACGTTCCTAATGCTACACTCAATTGTAGCTACCTTACTACTAGAAACGTACTTTATTTATCTGTCAAGCTGAATGAGTAGTTTACACTGCTGGTCTCTACTTTGTTGTTCAGTTGATGATTATTCTGATTTTCGAAAGGTGCAATTGGAAGTTTATTGAAAAGTAGACTATTCCTATTTCATTGGTGTAGTGTATGAGCAATAAACTACATGAAATCATGAAAGTATCAGTGAGCAGTCTAGGCGCATAACCACATCATGCATCAACAGTACTTCATTTGTGATATTTTTGGTGATTTGTGCATGCAAACTATCGAATATATTGTCATGGACATTTGTCTCGCAGTATTCATTCGAAGTGAACAATTTTGAAAGATTGAGAGACGATCAGTGATCGAATATCTATCTCACATTTTTCATAGATATTCAGAGGAAACACACAGTCCCTCACATGACTAATGTTCACTATTTGACGAAGTAACACTAGATCTCTAGCCCAAGTGGAAAATGTGCTATAAAAACAATGTAAACAAGCTAATTGTGTTAGTCCATCTATAGACCACAGTAGTATTGCATATTAAGCCAACATATTTGGATAGAAAACGATAGGCGTCTGTGTTAGCATTTTAGGCATACACCATCAATTGTCTTGGACAACGCAATTGATTCAAATGGAATTTCGAATGTCTCAGTCAGATCGAATGTAAATGACTGATGCCAAATGAGTTGATTCATATTCAAAATCATCAAATCATTCACAATTAACTGTGAGTGATTGTCATATGAGAAGCAAAAGTCCTAATTTTCATGACATCATCAAGAGAATATATCGGCTTGTAGGTCTATGATACTATTATTGAAGTGCAACAAAATCAATTGGCAATAACAGTAATGTTCAGTTCATCAATATAGAAGCAGAAGAAACGTTTAAGGTGAAGTTGATCCACACGGAACCCACAGTAGCATTTGCATCCACAAACAAGCCAGGCGCACAGACTTAAGAACAAAATCGTGACAGAAATAAACGTGAAAGCTTTATTGATAATGAAACTGAGGACACAGCTCAGCACACTTATGCAATAATTTGTAAAAATTCACAAAACACTGGTTTACCTCAAATTAGATTATTTCAGCGAACCTCTTGAATCGGTGGACAAGGTGACTGATCGGTATACAGTATTCCTTCGACTTGATTGAGTGAAAGTCTGACTGCATATTTCTCTTGCTCCATTGAGAACCATCCAATTTCATTCTATATTCTTGTGAAGTTCCGAGGTACATTCAATTTTTACAAATCAGTATTATGAAAATGTTAGCATTGTTCATTCAACCAGTTAGAAACAAATCATAGACTGAGAGCTACAATTTCATTGGTCGATTCATGGAGATTAGAAAATCTCATCAATCAATTGACCTATCCCGACTATATAAACAGTTGATTTTGTGAGTAGATTACTAGTGTCGAATTACACATTGCAAGTCACATCAAATGATTAAACATTCACTCATTATCACTACTTACATTTCACTTTATCTTTTCAACTGTTATCACACACAAACAAATGCGACAAATGCTTCTACAGTGTTATCCTCATGTGAAGCATGTCCAACTTGTAATGCAAATATGCGATGTAACTATTCACATTGGATCAGTCAATTGGGACAACCTGAGCAGCTTATTGAAAAATATCGGTTAAAATCGATGACAACTAAATCAAGTTGTTTCAATGAATGCATATCTGATCCTTCGTGTAATTTATTCACATATGAAGTTGTAAGTTGTAGATGTGTTTTATATTTTGTTTATACATGTGAAGCGCATTATTATTTGTATTCGGTTTAAACTGTTTAACAGTAAATCTACATTCCTGATGAGTTATTAATATGATGTAAATGATACCGTTGTGACTGTTCTTCGGTGATCTCTGTGCCGTCTAGATTCCTACTTTATTCAGAGTAATGCAGTTCATTTTATTTGCAGAAGCCAAGCTTCATTCTCTCTGAATCCGAACATTTCACCGAAACATCTCAGATGTAAACTTTATGGTTGACAATCGATGAGACATAAGGAAAATCAACAGGGTTATAAGAAGTTCCGGCTAATCACGGGTTGACACACACAAATTTCCACCGGCTTTTGATGATTCAGGTGTTCGTTTTGTATTGTGACTAATTGACTCTGGGATAAAATAGAATAAAACGGTTGTCTGGTGCTGCTCACTTATTCACTCGAGACAAGAACATGTATGGAAGATTCTTTGAGTAAACACAAACGTATCATTACGATTTCGAATACAGTCGGAAATCTACTTTTCCGTTTTCCATAATGAAGTTGCTCTGTGTCCATCCGAGTGTACGTTCGACAACGTTTCAACACCACCAGCAATCATGATACATCCAGTCAACCTATCTTTCTTCAGTTAACTTGAATAATGAAGTAATTTCAAAATGAATTCAAGCTGTAACTTAAATTTTGAATTTCCTCCTAATCACAGGAGACACCGTATATGTGCAATCTGTATTCTGGGCCTATTGGAAACTTTACCATGAGCATCAATTCAAGCGACTTCATGACAGGAAGAAGAGTGTGTTGTAGTAAGTTCAAACCATGTTTACAGTGATAATGATGAGTATTTCGAATATTAATAATTGTAGTCAGTGTAACTATTTTCATGTCATTAAGTGTACGCGTATTGTTCACTCTGTAAACTGCAACAGTGCACACCTTATAGCAATATGCAGTTATCATTGAGGAAGGCAAAGTTTAAAGATAATTTAGGTCGGTGGATGTTTCTGTTCTTCTTCTCCTTCTTCTTCTACTATTACTGACTATTGTACATTTCACTTGGTCAGTTATTCTGTAATGAAATGTAAATAAACTATTTGTTGATTGCCTAATCGAAGTTGTTCTTTTGAGTTAATATTTCCACATCGTAAGCGAAATTTCAATATTCGAGTTTCATTATGGATAATATCGAAATATGTCAATAGTACTGACAGAGAATTAGGAAATTATGATTGACTGTACAGAGTGAATTGTAATCTATCTCATTAGAGACATTCAATAAAATATTTCGATTTTGCCGACGTAATTTGTGAGCAAGTACTCGTCTATTAACAGATTCATATGATCAAAACGAATTCGTTTGAATATTGTAAGGAAGACAGTATATAATGTACTTGCTAGTACCTAACTTTGTGAGGAAATTCTCGGAGTTCTAGGGGGACGATATGACAGGTGGAGTTTTACCCTGTGGGTTGTAGGCGGTAACTCCCGAAAACAAATTGATGAGGTAGCGCATTTGCTCGCAAGACTGAAGGTCCCAGGTTCGAATCATGTGGGTTGCAGGAGTCGTGGATGCGCACAGCTGATGAGTCCTATACCAGTTGATACGGTCATTTAGTGTGTCCAGGTGTGTAAATGTGGTATAACTGATGGATTGATGATTTCAAATGTATAATGACATAATCTAAATGACCGTATGTTGAAAACGTAAATCCGCGTATTGACAATCTAT